CCTATTTCCCCTGTTATATCAAAAACAGGACTGCTGAACAGCAGAGGGCCTCCAAGGGAGTCCTCAATGAATGGGAGTGAATGGAGCTCAACGACTAAAAACGAAAAGTTAAAACAGTTTCTAATCACTGAACCAGAGCGTTTCTTTAATTCTAGAAAGTAGAAGGATGGATTTCACTAAAAAACAAAGAAAACTCACCTATATATTTCCTTTTTCTACAGCAAACGGGTTTTGGGCAGCAGGAGGCGGGCTTTACTGCTAGAGCGTGATGATTGATTGGCATCGGAGCAGCTCATTGGTTGTTCTCGCCCACAGACGTCATGAACGTACATGAGGCGCCGTTTTAAACTCCTATAACTCGAGTTTAAAAGAGTTAAAAAGCTCTTAAAATATAACAGCAGTGTTAAATGTTTGACACTGTTCTGTATTCATGAAATGATTGTATTCTTTTACATTAAAAATGCATTTATAAACTATGATTTTGCTCAAATGCTCCATATTAACCCATCCATTTTGGACTCACTCAGGAGCGCCCTCTAGCGTTTGAGAAACCCGGAAGACATTGCAGAGTGTAAAGTAATTCTCATCTCTACAGGTTCTCTGGTGTTACCCACTACACTATACCAACCACAACACAGCCTGATCAAAAGACATTTCAGAGAAAAGCAGAAGTGTGATTCCTAAACACCTGGACATCAATCAGTCCACACCTACACGCCTTCAGCCACACTATCTGGCAGTCTGACAAACGAATCAGGGTTTGGCTGATGCCAGGAGAACACAACCTGCCTAAATGTATGGCGACAACTGTAAAGTTTGTTTGAGGTGGGATAATGGGTCAGGGACCCAGGGAGGGTTTCTCATGGTTTGGGCTCCACAGTCCCAGTGAAGGGAAATATTAATGCTACAACATACAATAACATTCTAGTCCAGGGGTCGCAACCCAAACGTTAAAAAGAGCCATTATGTCCATTTTATCATCTTGGCTGTAAATATGTCTCAGTATGTGCTGATGTGCTAGCACAGGATAAAAATATGATATAAATTAAAATGCAGACTTACTTTGCTCTGCTTTAAGCTGTAGCTCAGCTATAGCTGCTTTTCTCGCATCTCCAGCAGGAAACTTTTCCTCAAAAGTGGAACAGCTTCTTGTAAAATGTCTCTCAACGTTCAACTTTTTACGAGGCTGAAATCAGATTCTCAATGGCCAGCTTCTTGTTCACATTCTCCCGTTCCACCTTTAATGGTGCCCGAGGTGCCAGAATATAACTGTTGCACCATTTAAGGTGGAATGGAAGAATTCAAACAATAAGCTGGCAAACGAGAAGCTGACTACAGCTTCGCAACTTGTTAGTGTTTGACAGTTTCTTGTTGCAGATTAAACATATCAAGAAACCAGCGGGAGTGATTATAAACGCAAATAAATCCATTCGTCTCCAAATCATCAATGTTAGTTTTGCAGTTCCACTAGCTACTAGCTAGACGAGATTGTTGTCTGCGCTGTGACCAGCGGTCTGTGCGCCAACCTTCAGGGCTAAAAGGTGAGGTTAGTAGTTCTACATTAACTCCAGCGTTTAAGACCATTTAGTGTTAAACTGTGTTGATCGATCAGCAGAGCTTTATTTTACTGTAGAGGAGGATTATTTCATTTTTACCTAAAAATCTAATTCTGCTGTGGAGCCGCAACAGGGCAGTAAAAGAGCCGCATTGCCGAACCCTGTTCTAAGGAAAAGTGTGCTTGCGTTCAGCCTCGTAAAGGAGTGGTTTACAAGTTTGGTGTGGAAGAACTTGACAGGCCTGCACAGAGTCCTGACCTCAATCCCCGTCCAACACCTTTAGGATGAACTGGAACAGCATCTGCGAACCAAGTCTTTTCTCTAGACATCCATGCCAAAGCACACTAATGCTCTTGTTGCTGAATGGAAGCAAATCCTCACAAGAATGTTACAACATCTAGTGGAAAGCCTGCCCACAAGAGTAGTGGCCATTACCGCAGCACCCATAGTGCTGGAATGAGATGCTCAAAAAGCACATATGGGTCAGATGATGGAGTGTCTACATAGTTTTGGCCATGTAGTGTACTTCAAAATGGAAGAAATCCAGCACTATTACTGTTTTCACTGAGAGTGCGTGACCTACAAGAATCAGTCCAAGGACACACTATACAGCTGAAGATATGACACTGTAAAATAAGTGTGTTGTTTGTTTAAAAACACTTTAGATGACCATAAAGATGAGCATGTAATCTAAAAACACAGTAATATTTTACTATATTTTTAAGGTTTTCTCTCTTTATTTAATACCCCTGTGAGGGAAAAGGTTAAAGTGGCTTAAAGCGGCTTTTAGTACATTCAGCCACGTTAAGCTTTTGCCCTTGTAATGATGTTAAAGAGCTCATATCTTACATTTTTTTGTGTTTTATTTTCTTCTTATGACATCTGTGTGGACTTACATTTTTTTTTACATGGCCATTTTCCCGACCTGTCCACAGCATCTTACAGTTAAACAGGCTGTTTTTTGCTACTGTGACTTTAAGACTGATATATGTAAATGAGCTGTGTTCTGATTGGCTGCCCTGTATTTTGCCTCATTGAAAAAGCAGTCCGGGCTAAAATTCTCCTTATAATTTCAGCGTGAATGGGCGGAGCTAAACCGCTGTAGGCGGAATAGGCGGATACATGTAAAGGTGTTTTATTTTGTGACATCACAAAATCAGTGAATTCAAAGCAGCCTGTTTTTTCAGCTTGTTTCCTTAATTGGACTCTATGCAATGAGTGAATGGTACATCTAACACGTTAACACTGAGTGCGTTTACATGCACTTAATACTCTGATAACTGCAGAAAATCAGATTTTGTCAGTAATCTGATCAAAGAGTTTACATGCACTTGAGTAATCAGATAATGGGAAATTCCGGGTTTACATGAGTAGTAATCAGTAATCAGAGACAGTAATCAGATTTCTGCTTTGCAACCAGCCAATAAACTCACAGAAGAAGACATGACGTAAACGTAACGTAAAACTCAAACTTCATGTCGTGGCTTTTTTTTTCAAACACTGTGCCACTTTACCTGAAACAATGAACATACGTCATCTAGAAGATGAAGAATATTTAAATCCTTCATTTCGGCAAGGAGGTAGTCGGTTTCAGAGTCACTCCAAAAGTGTTCTGCTGTGTCTCTGCTGTGCAGTAACGCTGCTGGCTTACTTCTGCTACCGCGGACTGTTTTCGCACATGCTCAGACTGAGAAATCCGAAAGAAATCAGAGTAAGAGTTTACATGCACTGAGAAATCTGATTACTGAGCTAAAATCCAGCTCTCTTTATCAGATTTCTTAATCAGATTTCTAGGCCAGGTTGAGCTTTTTTTAGAATGTCCTAGAGGGCACATTCATGAGGAAACAGCAGGAACCAGCACTTCTTTGTGTTGATCTAAATTAAGTTAAACACAGCATCTCTCTCCATCTTTCTCTCTCGCTACTATTTAAGTCCTCAAATCCATTATCGCCCCCTTGCCACTGCTTTCAACAGCTGTATTCTGTTTTTTTTCCCCCCAAAAAAAAAAAAAATTCCAAAAGGAAAGAAGCACAGATAGCTGTATAAAGAGGGTGGAAAAAAGAGGCGATGGGGAGGGACACAGAGACCTTTCTCAAAAGCCTCTGCGCTCTGCAGTTGCTACTCTAAATTAGATGCTGCGATATGCGCACGCACACGCGTACGACCACACGAGTTCAAAGTAAACTGCAGGAATGCACATAGTTTACAGTCCAGATGGGGTCTGCAGCAAACTCACACAAAAGGCACCGTAAAGCTGTTTGCTGTGACGCACGTCGCAGCGGTCTAGAACATTCTTCTGTCAACATCACAGCACCACAGGCAGATACTGCAGGAGAAATCCTCTACACAGGCATCATAAAGCTCTCTGGTATGCTGTACGGCTGCTACTCACTGATAGGACACGAATATTCACGTCTTTAATGACTGAGAGAAGTCTTTCTCAGGCTAAAGGTCAAAGGCTGTGACCACTAAGCAAAAGAGCTGCACTGGGAAGTTTGCTTTGAGAAACATTAAAAGGAACAATAACAAATTACCAGTAAGAATCTTCTAAATCTTCTTAACAGAAATTTTCTAAAGATTATCTACAGGAAATTTGCTGCTTTAGTTTTGGGGCTATGAGGCTAACGTAGCTAACGAGTAATGGAAGCTTAAACACACTAACTAGCATCAGGCTAAACTGCATACCTAAATAATCACACGCTTGCCTCAAGTTGGACAGAAGTAAGGATATAATTCAGGTGTCTAGATGACGCTACTCCTGTTTTTAGATATGTTCATGTACTTTTGTTCTTTTTTGCACATTTGTTTTAATATTGTTGTGGTCAGTCACCAGCATTTGCCAGAGAGAAGTTCAGACATAATCATTACACATTAACTTTTCATAAGCCGACATTGTGAGCTTTTTTATCTGATACTGAAAAACAAAAAATTAAAAATGTGTAATAAAAAATAAAACAAACAGAACATTGTGTCTGGTCCAATGGCATGTAGATTAATCAACTAGTCTACATGTACACAGGTATGTTTTAAAACGAGGGTTTGTCTCCTTCGTTTTAAAAAAAAATCCTTTTGACATTAAACGATTCCTCAGACTAATGGAGAATGTGCTGTATATGGTTCTATATAGAACCTTTTTGAAAATGGGTCTATGTAGCACCAAAAAGGATTCTTACATTGTAATGATGTCAAGCTTGTAACAACAGATGCTATATAGAACCCTTTTCAAAAAGGTTCTACATAGAACCATGCACAGCACATGCTCCATCAATCTGAGGAACCATTCCATGATGCAAAGAACCAACTAGGCAAAGTGCTCTTTGAGTGTTCATGGTTCTATATAGTACCATTTTCTATTTGTGTAGGGGTCGAGGGTCAAAAAGCCAAATATAATATACAAATAAAGACGGTAAACATGACCCAAGCTGACCGTCTGTGTGTACTTACTGTGTGATATGAGGGGCGAGCAGACTCCGGACATCCGGAGTTCTGATCGTGGCCAGTTCTCCTCCACGAGCGGAACACTGACGGCGAGCTTCGGACCAGCTGAACTCGCCCGGAACCAGCTGGAAACAGCGCAAAGAGTCTGCATGACGCACAGCCTCCGGCACACACAGTGGCTCCGCTACACACAGACAGAAAGAAGAGCGGAAAAATATTACAATAACATTCTGATGCTTAATGAGCCCCCTGACCAACCAATAGGCATTTCTCTGATCAATCTTTGGGTGTTTTGATGAATCAAGGTACATGGAGAATCATGGAAGTTCACAAGTGACAAAACATCGGGATCCCAAGATGGTCCTTGCTCTCTCCCATCACTCAGCGTGGTTCCCTAAAGGACTTTTCATGCACAAGTTTTTAAACAGAACCTTTTTTGTAAATGAAATAGTCGAGTGGAAAGAACCTCTTTAAAATTTAAAGAACATCCAATAGCAAAAAAAAACAATTAAAACTACACTATGTAAGTTTTGGGGATTTGGAGACCCCTCTGGCCGAAATGTGTAATTGCACACTGTGCTCCAAAGCCTAGGCTGCAGCCAAGGTATGTCGGGTCCCCGGTAGGACTGTCCCATGAAGACTCCTCCTTAGTAGCCTATCGGTCACACAAATGGAACAGTCCTAACGAGGCTGACGTCACCAGAGTGGCGCGAAACTCGTGAGGGAACTGGTGAGAGAAAACGGCATTGTGTTTGTTGCTTTTTCATTTCATCATGGAAATGGAGGAGATGTTCCTTTGTAGTACGATAAACTACATATATACAAACACTTCTAAATAAAATATGATATAGGAACAATATAGGATACATGGATGATATACGATATATGGACGATATATGATATATACAGACGAAAGCTTTAATTAATCAGTCATTTTACACTTTATAAGGCAACAAAGACGAATTCAAGGACATGAACAACTTAGATTTTAAAACAAGTTCTGCTCCAACGGGTTTTCTTTCCATTTGCTTTCTATTTTCATGGTGCGGTTTTTTTCCTTCGCGTCATTCGTGCTCAGAGAACTGTGGGTAACTGAAGGTCTTGAACGATACATCTGACGCATCCTTGAAATCACTCCGAACACAGGCTGCACACTGAGGCTGTAAGGGTCCTTCAGTTTGGAACGGCCTGCTACGATGTCTCTCTCTCTCTCTCTCTCTCTCTCTCTCTCCCTCCCTCTCTCTCTCTCTCTTCCCCTCACTAACTCTAACACATCCAGCACCCCTCTCTTTCTCTCCCCTCTCGCTCGGTGCTCCCTCATACTCTCCTGGGATTACTTCCTCACTCTCTTATCTGCTCTCTCAAAGCAAACAATGATGGACGGACTGACGCTGAGTCACCAAAAAAACAAATGAGCGCAGAGACGCATCTTCACATGACTATGGAAGGCAGAGATAGAGAGAAACGGCTGATCGGGAAAAGAGGATAAAAGGATTATTCCTTACAGCCTTCAATCTCTCTGTAACAAACACGGCTTCAGCCACTGTCAAACAGATTAGAGGTTTGTTTGTCTGAGTGCCTGTGAGGACACATGCAGAGCTTCTGTTAGAAAATGTCTGATGGAGAATGTTGACTCTGTTGAGAATGGAGAGACTTAACTCAGTGAATCTGTACAAAGAGGTACTTACGTATGCATATAATATAGTAACATAATATATAATATATAATATAGTAACATAATATATAGGTACATACAGCACTGAAAGTCAGACCACCTTTCAGCTATTTAACACAGTCAAAACAGCCTTCAAGTACATGGAGACTAGATATGAGATAATCCACCTGCATAAGGAAAAAGAGTGAAATAAACAAGAGTTCAAAAAAAGTGATTAAAGCTACAGAGAAAATGAGACTCCTAACAACCACCTGGAAGACCTGGTAGACACCAAAACTGTCCCCATCAGATAAACAGCACTTAAAGCTTTCATCTCTGAGAGAGAGGAGAAAATCAAGCTCCACTCTGGATTCAGATCTGAAAACATCCACAGGAGTTTCTGTCCATCCTTCCACTGTGAGACACTCAGCACTATGAGTCTGAAAGGATGTGTAGCTGTTAAGAAGCTCTTACTGAGAAAAGGAGACACATCAAACAAAGAAGCTGCTGGTGTTTCTCAGAACAATGGACTGACCACTCTAGAGTCCAGACCTCAACATCACTGAATGTGTTTGGGGTTGTTTGGATTGTGAGAAGCAGAAAATGTTAAACCAACTTCGAAGACTGAACTTTGGAGGTGTGGAAAACATCCCTGCAGATTTATCTGAGAAACTGAAAGTGAGTCTCCTGAAACATGTAATGTTACACTTAGTTGTTGGGCTTCTGTATAATTTTCTGTTAAATATGTTTTCTGTGTTTTTCCTGATGCTGAAAAATGCATAACTTCCAAATAAATAAATGAAGGGTGGACTACACACACACACACACACACACACACACACTCACACACACACGCACGCACACACACACACACACACACACACACACACACACACACACACACACACACAAAGATGGGATGGTATTTGAGCCACTTTTCAGATCCTTTTGCAATTATTAAAGATGACTTTCAAAATGTTCAGTTAACTACAATAAACACACTCACATCCCTAGTCAGTGTGTGTGTGTGTGTGTGTGTGTGTGTGTGTGTGTGTGTGTGTGTGCGTGCGTGTGTGTGCGCGCGCTCCTCTCTCTCACCTCTGGCCACCTCCTCTCCATCCTTCCGGATGGTCCAGTCCACAGCCAGGCCCATTCCGCCCCAGTTCACCAGAGTCACTGCCTCCTCCAGGCTCTGATTGGCCACCAGCAGTGATGGACAGTGGAGCTCCAGTCTCGGGGGCAGTTCCACACTGACCTCCACCTCCGTGGTAACCTCTCTGTGGGCTGCCGTGGTGCTGAGCCGCACCCTGTAATGTCCCGGGACGCCGTATTTGTGCTGCGCTGCAGTGGTGGGGCTCGAGGTGTTGAGGCGGGGTGAAAGGTCACCGAAGTCCCAGGACAGAGAGACGGGCAGCACAGACGAGGAGGCGGTCAGGACGGCCTCAGAGTGGACGATGGTGCGGACCGCTGACAAATTAACTGAGAAGTTCACCTGCGCAGACAAGAGTGGTTTCAGATACATGAATATGAAGCGCTTTCAAAAGTTTATACCACTGTAAGAGGAATATTATTTATTATGTTATTTATTGTTTTATTTATATTCTAGTTTTATTGAACAATTTCATTGTAAATTATTTTAAAATCACTCAATTATTTTGCTACTACACTAAAAACAAAAAATGAGATCTCTATCAGTGCTCAATCCTGGGAACAGTAAATAAATACATAAACAAGTAAACGTTAAAGAACGTTGTTTTTGAAAATTAGGTTCAGGTCTCATTCAAGAGAAGTAATTCTTTCAAAGTCACTGTTAGCATGATTTCATGGAAAAGTACAGCATTTATTCCTGCTGTGGATGTTTAGGTAGCTAGATTACAACTGAATCAACAACATCAGGTTAGGTAGCTGGCTTACCTTTGAATCAACAAAGTATGGTTAGGTAGCTAGTATTAGCTACGGAAGCTGGCTTACTATTGTATCAATCCAATCAGGTTATTTAGCTAGTTTTATCTAGAGGAGCTAGATTAGCAGCGGGGCAACAAAATCAGGTTATTTAGCTAGTTTTATCTAGAGGAGCTAGATTAGCAGTGGGGCAACAAAATCAGGTTATTTAGCTAGTTTTATCTAGAGGAGCTAGATTAGCAGCGGGGCAACGAAATCAGGTTATTTAGCTAGTTTTATCTAGAGGAGCTAGATTAGCAGCGGGGCAACGAAATCAGGTTATTTAGCTAGTTTTATCTAGAGGAGCTAGATTAGCAGCGGGGGCAACGAAATCAGGTTATTTAGCTAGTTTTATCTAGAGGAGCTAGATTAGCAGCGGGGCAACGAAATCAGGTTATTTAGCTAGTTTTATCTAGAGGAGCTAGATTAGCAGTGGGGCAACAAAATCATGTTATTTAGCTAGTTTTATCCAGAGGAGCTAGATTACCAGTGGGGCAACAGAATCAGGTTATTTAGCTAGTTTTAGCTACAGGAGGATTTGCGGCAACAAATCAGGTTCTATAAAGCAACTGCTAACAAAGTTAGCACTAGCTAGCAATAGCTAACTACACTACCGTTCAAAAGTCTGAAATCAAGTAACTTTTAGATAATTTGTCAAAAACATTTTTGTAAAAAGATAATTACATTATATTAGTTATCATTTAAGAATGTCTTGTTTCTAAAACGCGTATCGTAATGAATAAAAATATCTAAATATACATTTTTGGTGCCTAAATTAAACAAAGCAAAGTGTACATTGTATTAGTTATTACTGTATAACAAAAGAAAATTATTAATATATCAAGTGATCCCACCTTTTGAACAGTTGTGTATCGCAATTCAATACACAGCTGGAAAGCTCTAATGCTACTGAAGTTAGTGCTGACAGAATGTATGACTTTCAAAATGTGAGAATAATATATAAAACAACAAAATTTTGTTTTGCAAAAGCAGTTTTAAAAACTGACTGAAAGATTACCTTTCAAAGGATATGTTCACATTACCAGGTTGAAGTGGCACAAATCTGATGTTTTGCCCTAATGTGACTCAGATCTGATGTTTTCAGAGCTGTGTGGACACACAAATCTGATCTTTTCAAATCTGACCTGAGCCACTTTCATATGTGGTCCTAGATCAGATACGTATCCGATTCGTGGCCGTGCGACCTTAATGTGATGCTCAGATCAGAATTTGTGTGCTTTCTTTCCCACTGTGTGTGCGCCATCATTCAGCGTTACCGTGGCAGCAGCGCCAAACAGAACTTAAAGCCTGTAAACGGTGGAAAAGCAGCTCATCTCACCTTTTTCTCCTTCGTCTCGCTCTAATAATGAAGCTGAGAGCTGATCAGAGTTAATGATCTTCTCAGCGAAGCTCGTTCTGCTCGTTAGTCTGTTTGCTGATGATGCATGTGATTCATTCACGTGACGTTACTGAGTAGGATGAGCTCATGCGGCTCATTTCAGGACGCCGGTTCGTCACATTAATGATTTGAATCATTAAACGAGTGTGAACCATCGTGTCAGAGAGATCGGATTTGAGCAAAAAATCAGATTTGAACAAAGAGGCTTGTAATGTGAACGTAGCTTACGATGTTGTGACATAAAAAGCAGACCCTGCAATAATTTAGCCTGTTGTGTGAATCTCCTAACCTGAATGCAGCTGATTTAATGTCGAACATTATTCTTAATGTTGTATTTTTAATATTTCACTCGCTCAGTTGAGTCACACACCTGGAAGACGTCCCGTGCGACGGTCAGTCCGCACTCCCTCATTACGCGCTGGTCAGAGCAGGCAGCGGAGCACTGCGCCTCGCTGATGCGGTTCGGCTCTGAGTTGGTGCTGCACAGACACTCGCCCCACGTCCCCAGACCTCCATACAGCTGCTTATCAAAGAAACATCTGGAGTTACACTCCTCCCGCGAGAAGTTCCCCGCTGCCGAGAATGAGAAGATCACCAGCTCGGTGCCCCCTGGATGACCACTGTCCTGCAGACAGCCTGCATAGTACAGCTCTGAGAGAGAGAGAGAGAGAGGAGAAATGATGAATATCTATGGTACTGATAGCAGAGATGTGGTCAGCTTTGCTGTTGAAATGCTTTTTAACCCCTCAAACGGCAACTGTATTTGGAACAGAGCTTTAATCAGGCCTAAAATGTTGGTCCAAACCTGAAAACAGCCTGAAAACCTTCATTCTGAACTCACACGCTGCCAGTGGAGAACTCTAGACTCTCAAAAAGGACACTTCACTGTCACTGGGGCTGTGTCCTCAAAAGTATGTTCTGTGAAGGTACATTTTTTGTTCATCAAGGTACAAACAATGTAAATGTTCCCTCAAAGGTACAACAGTGGTTTTAAGGTCTGATCGTGAAGCTTAAATAAGTTTTTTTCCCAGGTGAAAAGTTCGTATTTGTACCTTTTCATAAATGTTTTAAAACAGAACAGTAAAATAAAAGCCTGGAGACGAGACGGGGTGTGTGGAGTCAGTACAGCTTAGAAAATATCATTTCAGTGGATTATGGGACAATTATGCTCCCTGACTAAAGGTACTGAGATGTACCCTTGAGGGTCCCACCCCAGTGACAAAAGGGGTCCAGCCCCAGGGACAGTTTACTACCTTTTTTTCTGAGAGTGTGGGGAATATAACCGCACCAAATTCTATTGCAGTTATACTTTTTAAAGCCCTATTCGGACAGGATTAGTTTTACATGTGAAGGTGGGGTAATGCCATTTTACCAGTGTTTCTTAATGAATGTGTTTACATGCACTTAATAATCCAGTAACGGCAGAAAATCGGATTTTGTCAGTAATCTGACCAACACATTTACATGCACTTCAGTAATCAGATAATAGTAAACTCCAGTCTACATGAGTCAGACAGTAATCAGATTTCTGCTTTGCAACCAGCCAATAAACTCAACAGAAGAAGACGTGATGTAAACATAACGTAAAAATCTCAAACTTCATGCTGCAGCTTTATTTTTTAAAAACATCACGTCACTTTACCTGAAAATATGAACATACATCATCTAGAAGATGAAGAATATTTAAATCCTTCATTTCATCAAGCATTAACCTGCCTTCCGCCCAATGACAGCTGGGATAGGCTCCAGCACCCCACCGCGACCCAGAAGGATAAGCGGTTTAGATGATGTATGTATGTATGTATTTCATCAAGCATGTACTTGGTTTCTGTGTCGCTCCAAAAGTGTTTTGCTGCGTCTCGCGGTAACGCTGCTCGCTTATTTCCGGTACTGCGGTCTGTTTTTGCACATGCTCAGACTGAGAAATCCGAAAGAAATCAGAGTAAGAGTTCACATGCACTGAGAAATCTCATTACTGAGCTAAAATCCAGCTCTCTTTATCAGATTTCTTAATCGGATTTCTAGATCAGAGTGTGCTGTTTACATGACCATTTTGAATAATCAGATAACTGCAGAAATCCAGTTCTGATCGGATTATTGAGTGCACGTAAACGCAGTCAGTGATTTTAGTTCCATCTGAACGTGCTTTGTCAGTTTTTAGAGACTGCACGCTCTGTAAAACGACTCTGGTTGCCTTTAACTTCTACAAAATAAGACATAGAAATAAACTTTGCTTGTATTAATCCTGTGTGAATCCACATGATGGTATAGCCGCTACCGTATTCTGTGGAAAAGGAGTTTCTTAAGCATGATTCACTCAAAAAAGCGTTTACTTGTCTTTTCTCTGGCTAAAATCAAGCCGATATATTCTGTCCCAGCTCAATTTTACATCTCAGAACATTAAAATGTAAAATTTACAGAAAAACTTTTGATTTTATGAGGTAATGTTGAGTGCTGGCTATGAACTCCCAAGCTAACGACAATGCTAATGCCACACTGCATTCACTTAAGGCAGCGAGACAGACAGTTGGGGTAAACAGAGCTGTTTTCACGCGTTTTCTACTCTTTTCTGGAGTGAACGCAGTGAGTAAATGGAGTAGCCACTCCCAGCTCTGTCATTTATAACAAGATTATCCCATGTGAGTTGGTCATAAACATTACAGACATCCTGTGATAAACATTACTCACATCCCCATGGAAAACCAATCCCATCCGAGCAGTGCTTAAGTTGCACTGATGTCATGTAGCCCATCCTGACTACAGGCGATTCATTTCTTTTTGTATTTTAAAAAGTTTAGTGATTAAAAGGTACAGATATGTACTTTTCCCCTAGGAAGGTGAATGTAGTGCATCTTTAAAATTAATTTAAGGTACAACCCCATTTCCAAAAAAGTTGGGACGCTGTGCAAGATGTAAATAAAAACAAAATGCAATGAAGTGCAAATCATTTAAACCCTATATTTCACTGAAAACAGTACAAAGAAAATTTTATTGCTTTTTGAAAGATATTTGCCCATTTTGAATTTGATGACAACCACACGTTCCAAAAAAGTTGGGATGGGGGCAAAAGGCAAAAGGCTGGTAAAGTTGTGTAAGGCTAAAAAACACCTGGTGGTTGATTGGCAACAGGTCAGTAACATGATTGGGTATAAAAGAGCATCTCAGAGCGGCGGAGTCTTTCAGAAGTAAAGATGAGGAGGGTTCACCACTCTGTGAAAGACTGTACGATCAAATAGTGCAACAATTCAAGAATAACATTTCTCAACGTAAAATAGCAAAGAACTTTTGCTTTTCATCATCTACGGTACATAATAACATTAAAAGATTCAGAGAATCTTAAGAATCTGTATGTAAAAGGGACAAGAACAAAAACCAGTATTTGCTGGCCGTGATCTTTGGGCCCTCAGGTGGCACTGCATTAAAAACAGATATGATTCTGTAGTGGAAATCACTGCATGGGCTCAGGAAACATTTCTGAAAAACACTGTCTGTGAACACAGTTCATCACTGCATCCACAACTGTAAGTTAACACTCTAAGATGCAAAGAAGAAATCATATATAAACAGGATCCAGAAATGCTGCCACCTTCTCTGGGCCCGAGCTCATTTAAAATGGACTAAGGAGAAGTGGAAACGTTTTACAAGTCAACATTTGAAATTCTTTTTGGAAATCATGGACACTGTCCTCTGGGATAAAGACCACTCAGCTTGTTATCAGTGCACAGCATCAGTGCTCCAATACAAAAGCCAGTATTCATGATGGTATAGGGGGGACATTAGTGCACATGGCATGGGTGACGTGCTCATCTGTGAAGGCACCATTAATGCTGAACGATATATACATGTTTTAGCAACATATGCTGCCATCCAGATGACGTCTTTTTCAGGGAAGGCCTTATAAGGATTATTTCAGCAACACAATGTCAACCCACATTCTGCATGTATTACAACAGCATTACTCCATATTAAAAGAGTCCCAGGTGGTAAACTGACCTGCCTGCAGTCCAGACCTGTCACCCACCAATAACATTTAGCACATTTTTAAATGGAAAATACGACAAATGAGCCCCCGAACAGCTGAGCAGCTGAAATCCTATATCAAACAAGAATGGGAAAACATTTCACTTTCAGAACTACAGCAGTGTCTTTTCAGTTCCCAAACACTTACAGAGTGTTGTTAAAAGAAGAGGTGATGAAACACAGTGGTAAACAGACCCCCGTCTCAACTTTTTTGGAATGTGTTGTCGGCATTAAATTCAAAATGGGCAAATATTTTTCAATATGGTTTCAACATTTGATATGTTGTCCAATATGTTGTAGTATTTTCCTTTAAAATACGGTTTACATGATTTGCATATCATTGCATTCTATTTTTATCTACATTCTGCACAGCGTCCCAACATTTTTGGAAATGGGGTAGTACAAAATTAGATGTTTACAACCTCTAAAATACATTTAAACTGTTTGTACCTGAACAGAAAATAACCTGTGCAGTGTCCTCTTTCCCCAGTGTATATTTCTAATGAGCCTGCTTGCTAAATTACCTTAGTTGCAATGTTAAGTTATCTAGTTATCTAGTGTCATCAGCTGTCATCATCAAAAAACAACAAAAAATGGCCTAATTATCAGTCAAAATTAACTTTAAATTACACATCAAAACAATCAGTCACTGCCTTCAAACAACAAAGTTTTTACTGTGGATAAACTTTACGTGGCTAACGTGCTGTTTTCGTTCTGGTCTCAGTGGACAAAACAAAGGACGCCGGCGTGCCAGGAATAAAGAGAAAAATGAACCAAAGGTAAACCCAAGCCTGACAAATATTTGAGAAATAACATCCCAAACCCAACCAAAAAAGAGGAGTCCAGAGGTTCAGACACATAATGAGCTCTACTGTGGGCCCAAATTTCAGTTCCTCACTCTACATATCTATCTATATATATATACACTGGTGTCATTAGCTGTTATTTATTACTTAATAATGAGCATTAAGATTAATAAAAAAGATTATAAGCTGCAGTTTAAGAAGTTAAATCTTAAGAGTCCAAAGTTTTTGTCCAAATATATAAATATATTTTAGTTATTGGCAATTAGGGGACATGTTGAAAGAGAGGTGTTTGGCAAATCAAACCTTTGGTTTTTCATTATGTTATTGCATATTCTTTTTTTTTCCTTTTACTTGATTTGTTTTCCCCAGCTGTGGTCACGGCTTGTTCCACCCACTACTTAGGTCCCCATTTCACACAATGCTACCATGTGAAGGTTATCACTTGCCTCCTTTGAGTCATGTGAAGAGAGTCAACATATCTTTGCTAACTGCCACTAACACACTGTCATTAAACAGCTCAACACACTTGGAGGAGAACACTCACTTCTAATTCTGTTACGTCAGAAATTTGGTCTGATAAGTTTCCAACATTGGCAGGTTACAGCCTACATACCACACTAGCACCACATAAATTCTGCTGATTGTATGCATAAAAGTAGCTAAACCAAGTTACTGGTTAAAATAGTTAAATGCTTAGTTACCATCTTGTCATATTTAATGCTTCAGATATCACCATTAAAATACACACAACCAAACAATAATATTAACAGGAATTATGAATGTGGATGCTGTGTACTGTAGATACAGCTGTATGCAATTCAAATAAATACAGTATTCCAGTATTCCAAGCACTGCCATACAGTGAAATCAGCACAATCAGACTGACCCGTATCAGAAATCTAATTCAGAATGCACTGATAAATACATGCATTAACGCAATCCATACAGTCGTACGCAGACGTTTGGGTGCCCCTGGTCAAATGACAAGTTTTGTTGTTTTTCTAAGTGAAAATAAGTGAACTTTATGCTTTATGCTTCACTTTTTTCTTAACATTTAAATGCAGCAAAATAAAACCTGTGCACTAAAACTTGATGAAGCATTTCCCTTTGTTCTCTGTAGAGAGTGTGTTAACTTACTTTCATGTAGAAAATCAACAAAAACATGTTATTTGACCAGTGGTTTTTGCGTAAGCCTGTAGACAATAATCACATAATGCTGATACAAATTAATGGTAGTGAAGTTACGCTGTTAAGCTACCTGCTTCACTAAGTGCTGCTGCACATTGATAGAGTGACTTTTTCATGTTACGGTTAGTGATGATGATGCGGTATGACTGGTGTGGGAGATTTAATGGAACATATTATAAATAAGAGAGTGAGGCCAGTTATGCTCTTTCAGACTTCCAGTTATGGATGGCTGTGGCATCACCGGGGATCGAACTTAATCTCCCCATGACAGGGATTAGACAGTTGTACCACTCAGTAGTCCTGTAATTGCTTTTTTAGACACACTGGCTCAGACTGCAGTGCTACTAGTTTCTGTGCAGTCGTGTTTATCGATCGAGTTCACCTCCTCTCTGATGTGTGAGTTACGTCCCAACTGCCTTCAGCATTCAGGCACACAGAGGAGCTGTTTCTGTGACTGGTCTGGGTTTGCTGGGACAGTGTGGACTGTGACGTGTGTGTACATGACCAGTCTTATTTGTGGAGGCTGGAAGAAGCAGCAGTGGCCAGAGAAAACACAGTGTGTGTGATGTGCTGAAATTCCATTAAAACGCCATGCAGCACGAGAGACAGCTGAAAGATCAGCCCTTTAAGGACTAAACGCAGAAGTGGCCGCCTGGATTTGTCATTATTTTTAACTATAATGTAGTGAAACACACTGATCAGGCATAACATTATGACCACCTCCTTGTTTCTACTCTCACTGTCCATTTTATCAGCTCCACTTACTATATAGGTGCACTTTGTAGTTCTACAGTTACAGACTGGAGTCCATCTGTTTCTCTGCATACTTTGTTAGCCCCCTTTTACCCTGTTCTTCAGTGGTCAGGACCCCCATGGACCCTCACAGAGCAAGTACTATTTAGCTTGTCGATCATTCTCAGCACTGCAGTGACACTGACGTGGTGGTGGTGTGTTAGTGTGTGTTGCGCTGGTACGAGTGGATCAGACACAGCAGTGCTGCTGGAGTTTTTAAACACCTCATTGTCACTGCTGCACTGAGAATAGTCCACCAACCAAAAATATCCAGCCAACAGTGTCCTGTGGGCAGCGTCCTCTGACCACTGATGAAGGACTAGAGGATGACCAACACAAACTGTGCAGCAGCAGATGAGCTATCGTCTCTGACTTTACATCTACGAGGTGGACTGACAAGGTAGGAGTGTCTAATAGAGTGGACAGTGAGTGGACACAGTGTTTAAAAACTGCAACAGCACTGCTGTGTCTGATCCACTCTTACCAGCGCAACACATGGGTATCATGGGTAATGGGTAATGGGTAATGTATCGTGATAATATCATATTGTGAGATGCCCCCTCCAGGTAAGGGGAGAGGATGGGAAGAGAGATCGTGAGATTGCAGGCTGGGACAGGCGGCAGCAGTAATGCGGTCACTGTACCGGTCTGTAGTGGTGAAGAGGGAGCTTACCAGTCGGTCTACATCCCAACCCTCACCTGTGGTCATGAGCTGTAGGTAATGACCGAAAGAATGAGGTCACGAATACAAGCGGCGGAAATGAGCTTTCTTCACAGGGTGGTGGACTACACTCTACTTGACCGGGTGAGGAACTCGGTCATCCAGGAGGAGCTCAGAGCAGAGCCACTACTCCTCCACATTCAGAGGAGCGAGTTGAGGTGGTTTGGGCATCTGATTTGGATGCCCCCTGGACGCCTCCCAGTGGAGGCTTACCAGGCACGGCCTACTGAGACAAGACGCTGGGGTCATCCTAGGACCCGCTGGAGGGATTATACCTCCAAGCTGGCCTGGGAGCGGCCCCGGAACGAGCCGGAGGAAGCTGCGGGGAACCACGTCGTCTGGGATTCTCTGCTCTCCCAACTGCTGCCGCGACTCTATCTGGACTAAGTGGTTAATGATGATGATGAGATGCCCTGTGATTCCCACCCCTAATACGTATGTCTAGAGTTTATTTCTGCGTACAGTAAGTTTACTGTCTTTCTGATACAGATGTGCCAGATAGAGAGTGGCTGCAGCATTACTTTCATAACAAGGGTTTTATAAAGCACTGGTGAGTGCAGAACAGGCTGTTTTATGGTATCTCAGCAGTTAGTGAACATGACTGGGATCAATCCTCGCTGATGAATCCTGTCATTATGCGTCTGAAGCCGGATCCGCTCCTGGCCAAATATCATCTCGTATTATATAACTCGCTCTTAGATAAATGCAAATAGGCTGCTCAGTATCTGCTGCTTCCTTATTAGTTTATGTCTTGCTGCAGGTGAAGAAATATGCATATTCCTCGCATCAAAACAGGGAGTGGAAATAAAGCCTCAGGAAGGCTCATTCTTTCTTTAATAACTTTTTGCTTTTTTCTCATGCACTGCTTATCATAAATAACAGACTCCCTTATGATGGACGAGGGATGAAAGCATCCAGTTCACTGTCTGGTTGTTTGCTGTCAGTGACTCGGATGGGAATTTCTTCAGGTTTTACCCAAGTTTTTTTTTCAGTTAGCTTCGCTTTATTTACAGCTCATCTTCAATGTTGTAATCATTAATTCTAACTTTCCTACAGTGATGTTTAAGCATAAGTCAAACAAGCAGGTGTGAAACTGAATCCATTACAACGATGGTAAAATCTAAGAAGAGGCGAAACCGCAAAGAAGGTTGTTGGATTAATATCTCACCCAAGGATTAAAGTTCCATGTTGTAAAGTTACTAAATAGCTAATAACTAAAGTAAATCTGAAATATTTATTGTGCAAAATAATCAGCATTATTTTGTCTGAAGTCAAAGTTTTATTGGTCACTATTGTGCATAACAATCAATAAAAACAAAACAGAAAAATACTTAAATAAACATCACCACAACATACTGGAAAAAAGTACAACATAAAATAGAAAATGTGCTGTAACTATTGCACAAGTCACATTTTATGTTTTAATTTTTTCCCCAATGTGTTCAATTCAGCAAATAAGATGCATAAGTGTGAGCTCTTGTTCATTTATTTACACTTATAAACTCAACTGGGGCCAGGGGTGCCCAAACTTCTGCATTCGACTGTAGGTATTGCCTTAATGTATACTGGTCACTCTGGTTATTTTTTAATACCTTAGATTTTTGCTGCGTGGTGTTTGGAATACTGGAATGCTGAATTTACTGGTTTTCCAAGAAATAAGCTGTAGACTGCGATTTAATTTTAAGTTGATGTTTTTGTGAGGTATGACTGTAGAACAATCAAAAATTGTATTTTTATTATTTATTCATTTATAATATTAAAAACATTGATGGAAGATCAAATGACAAATGAGGTCATTAAATAAAAAAATGAATGTTGTTAATGAATGTAATAATGACACATTTAAAAAAAAATGTATATCAAAAATGATCTCTAAGAAGTGATTAAATGATAAAAGCAAAACAGTGACATCTGATGGGGTTCACCTCCTCTTCTGCTGCAGCGTTTAGACCTGACAGGCAGTAATGAAGTGTTTCTTCCTGCTGATTGGCTCAGTGACTCACCGCAGGTGTGTGAGCTGACGTTGAGCAGTGGATGGTCCTTCAGTTCGGGCGGACGGTCACAGAGCATGTGGTCTGCTCTCCTCAGAGTGACCCCTCTCGTCTGAAGCCCACTGACCGACTGGACCAGCATACAGTCGCATACAAAAGGGTTACCACTCAGATCACTGAGAGACAGATAGACAGAGAGAGAGAGAGAGAGAGAGAGAGAGAGAGAGATTTATAGTACTTAATGAATAATTCATAGCAGTTACTGAATAATTTATAGCAGTTACTGAATACTTTATAGCAGTTACTGAACAATTTATAGTAGATACTGAATAATTTATAGTAGATACTTAATAATTTATAGTAGTTACTGAATAATTTATAGTAGATACTTAATAATTTATAGCAGTTACTGAATAATTTATAGTAGATACTGAATAATTTATAGCAGTTACTGAATAATTTATAGTAGATACTGAATAATTTATAGCAGTTACTGAATAATTTATAGTAGATACTGAATAATTTATAGCAGTTACTGAATAATTTATAGCAGTTACTGAATAATTTATAGTAGATACAGAATAATTTATAGAAGTTACTGAATAATTTATAGCAGTTACTGAATAATTTATAGCAGTTACTGAATAATTTATAGCAGTTACAGAATAATTTATAGCAGTTACTGAATAATTTATAGTAGATACTGAATAATTTATAGTAGATACTGAATAATTTATAGCAGTTACAGAATAATTTATAGCAGTTACTGAATAATTTATAGTAGATACTGAATCATTTATAGAAGTTACTGAATAATTTATAGTAGATACTGAATAATTTATAGCAGTTACTGAATAATTTAAAGAAGTTACTGAATAATTTATAGCAGTTACTGAACAATTTATAGTAGATACTTAACAATTTATAGTAGTTACTGAATAATTTATAGCAGTTACTGAATAATTTATAGCAGTTACTGAATAATTTAAAGAAGTTACAGAATAATTTATAGTAGATACTGAATAATTTATAGAAGTTACTGAATAATTTATAGTAGATACTGAATAATTTATAGCAGTTACAGAATAATTTATAGCAGTTACTGAATAATTTATAGTAGATACTGAATAATTTATAGAAGTTACTGAATAATTTATAGCAGTTACTGAATAATTTATAGCAGTTACTGAATAATTTAAAGAAGTTACTGAATAATTTATAGTAGATACTGAATAATTTACAGCAGTTACTGAATAATTTATAGTAAATACTGAATAATTTATAGTAGATACTTAATTTATAGTAGTTATTGAATAATTTATAGCAGTTACTGAATAATTTATAGTAGATACTGAATAATTTATAGCAGTTACTGAATAATTTATAGCAGTTACAGAATAATTTATAGCAGTTACAGAATAATTTATAGAAGTTACTGAATAATTTATAGTAGATACTGAATCATTTATAGAAGTTACTGAATAATTTATAGTAGATACTGAATAATTTACAGCAGTTACTGAATAATTTATAGCAGTTACTAAATAATTTATAGAGGTTACTGAACAATTTATAGTAGATACTGAATAATTTATAGTAGATACTTAATAATTTATAGCAGTTACTGAATAATTTATAGCAGTTACTGAATAATTTATAGCAGTTACTGAACAATTTATAGTAGATACTTAATAATTTATAGTAGTTACTGAATAATTTATAGCAGTTACTGAATAATTTATAGCAGTTACTGAATAATTTAAAGAAGTTACAGAATAATTTATAGTAGATACTGAATCATTTATAGAAGTTACTGAATAATTTATAGTAGATACTGAATAATTTATAGCAGTTACAGAATAATTTATAGCAGTTACTGAATAATTTATAGTAGATACTGAATAATTTATAGAAGTTACTGAATAATTTATAGCAGTTACTGAATAATTTATAGCAGTTACTGAATAATTTAAAGAAGTTACTGAATAATTTATAGTAGATACTGAATAATTTACAGCAGTTACTGAATAATTTATAGTAAATACTGAATAATTTATAGTAGATACTTAATTTATAGTAGTTATTGAATAATTTATAGCAGTTACTGAATAATTTATAGTAGATACTGAATAATTTATAGCAGTTACTGAATAATTTATAGCAGTTACAGAATAATTTATAGCAGTTACAGAATAATTTATAGTAGATACTGAATCATTTATAGAAGTTACTGAATAATTTATAGTAGATACTGAATAATTTACAGCAGTTACTGAATAATTTATAGCAGTTACTAAATAATTTATAGAGGTTACTGAACAATTTATAGTAGATACTGAATAATTTATAGTAGATACTTAATAATTTATAGCAGTTACTGAATAATTTATAGCAGTTACTGAATAATTTATAGCAGTTACTGAACAATTTATAGTAGATACTTAATAATTTATAGTAGTTACTGAATAATTTATAGCAGTTACTGAATAATTTATAGCAGTTACTGAATAATTTAAAGAAGTTACAGAATAATTTATAGTAGATACTGAATCATTTATAGAAGTTACTGAATAATTTATAGTAGATACTGAATAATTTATAGCAGTTACAGAATAATTTATAGCAGTTACTGAATAATTTATAGTAGATACTGAATAATTTATAGAAGTTACTGAATAATTTATAGCAGTTACTGAATAATTTATAGCAGTTACTGAATAATTTAAAGAAGTTACTGAATAATTTATAGTAGATACTGAATAATTTACAGCAGTTACTGAATAATTTATAGTAAATACTGAATAATTTATAGTAGATACTTAATTTATAGTAGTTATTGAATAATTTATAGCAGTTACTGAATAATTTATAGTAGATACTGAATAATTTATAGCAGTTACTGAATAATTTATAGAAGTTACAGAATAATTTATAGCAGTTACAGAATAATTTATAGTAGATACTGAATCATTTATAGAAGTTACTGAATAATTTATAGTAGATACTGAATAATTTACAGCAGTTACTGAATAATTTATAGCAGTTACTAAATAATTTATAGAGGTTACTGAACAATTTATAGTAGATACTGAATAATTTATAGTAGATACTTAATAATTTATAGCAGTTACTGAATAATTTATAGCAGTTACTGAATAATTTATAGAAGTTACTGAACAATTTATAGTAGATACTTAATAATTTATAGTAGTTACTGAATAATTTATAGCAGTTACTGAATAATTTATAGCAGTTACTGAATAATTTATAGTACATACTGAATAATTTATAGAAGTTACTGAATAATTTATAGCAGTTACTGAATAATTTATAGCAGTTACTGAATAATTTATAGTAGATACTGAATAATTTATAGCAGTTACAGAATAATTTATAGCAGTTACTGAATAATTTATAGTACATACTGAATAATTTATAGAAGTTACTGAATAATTTATAGCAGTTACTGAATAATTTATAGTAGATACTGAATAATTTACAGCAGTTACTGAATAATTTATAGTAAATACTGAATAATTTATAGTAGATACTTAATTTATAGTAGTTATTGAATAATTTATAGCAGTTACTGAATAATTTATAGTAGATACTGAATAATTTATAGCAGTTACTGAATAATTTATAGCAGTTACAGAATAATTTATAGAGGTTACTGAATAATTTATAGAGGTTACTGAATAATTTATAGTAGATACTGAATCATTTATAGAAGTTACTGAATAATTTATAGTAGATACTGAATAATTTATAGCAGTTACTGAATAATTTATAGAAGTTACTGAATAATTTATAGAAGTTACTGAATAATTTATAGTAGATACTGAATAATTTATAGTAGTTACTGAATAATTTATTGTAGTTACTGAATAATTTATAGCAGTTACTGAATAATTTATAGTAGATACTGAATAATTTATAGCAGTTACTGAATAACTTATAGTAGATACTGAATCATTTATAGCAGTTACTGAATAATTTATAGCAGTTACAGAATAATTTATAGCAGTTACTGAATAATTTATAGCAGTTACTGAATAATATATAGCAGTTACTGAATAATATATAGCAGTTACTGAATAATGTATAGTAGAAAATGAATAATTTATAGAAGTTACTGAATAATTTATAGTAGAAAATGAATTTATAGAAGTTACTGAATAATTTATAGTAGATACTGAATAATTTATAGTAGATACTTAATAATTTATAGTAGTTACTGAATAAATTATAGTAGATACTGAATAATTTATAGTAGTTATTGAATAATTTATAGCAGTTACTGAATAATATATAGCAGTTACTGAATAATGTATAGTAGAAAATGAATAATTTATAGAAGTTACTGAATAATTTATAGTAGAAAATGAATTTATAGAAGTTACTGAATAATTTATAGTAGATACTGAATAATTTATAGTAGATACTGAATAATTTATAGCAGTTACTGAATAATTTATAGTAGATACTGAATAATTTATAGCAGTTACTGAATAATATATTGTAGATACTGAATAATTTATAGTAGTTACTGAATAATTTATAGTAGTTACTGAATCATTTATAGTATTTACTGAATAATTTATAGCAGTTACTGAAAAAGTTATAGTAGATACTGGACAATTTATAGTAGTAACTGAATCATTTACAGCAGTTACTGAATAATTTATAGTAGATACTGAATCATTTATAATACTTACTGAATATTTTGCAGTAATAAAATTAATAATTCATGAGTCATTAATTATTTATAGCAGATACTAACAATTTATAAGTTACTGAATAATTTATAATACTGAATCATTCATAGTACTTATTAACAATTCGTAGTAGTTACTGAATAATGTATAATACTGAATAATTTATGAGTGACCAAATAATTCATAGTAGTTACTGAATTATTAAAAATGATTATTTATTCCATTAAAAATATTGGAATTATAAGGCTGCCGTTTAATGTAGCAAACAGAATAATGTCATATGGCAAAAAACAGTTCTCAGGTATTTTTGTGTGCTCATCTAGTGTTTTGGGTTAGTCTTCCCAAACAGAGTCAAACCCAAATGAACTGAATCATGAACTGATTCACTCCAGTGATTCATATCAAACCCAAAAGCCCATATCTACACTGAATCATTTGAGTTGTATGTCTGTTCTTACTTTACGCTCTGGTGCCGTAATAAACATTTAAAAAACAGACCTCTTCAAAAGCGTGTGTGTGTGAGTGTCCGTGCTTTGGTGTGTGCGATACATGAACTGTTCACTTTCTGTAAATATGATGACATCACAACCAATGGGGACCGCCTCATTCATAAAACTATGGGGAGAGAGAGACATATGGTGTACATTCTGGTGAGAGGGCTTTAGAGAGGGGACTGGAACGGCTCCACTGGGTGGGAATATCACAGGATTTCACAGAAAAAATGTAATCTCTTCCTCCTGACATTCGAACCGTGGTGCAGCCATCACTTACTCTTTATTTGACACCCACAATCACTGCAGCCAGCGCTCCAATTATGACTTGCATAACAAGGCAATAAAAAGACATCATCACTGAAACGCACAGAGGTGGAAAACGACAGTGAAGAGCTGAAAGCCAGCAGAAAACACAGCGATAAACTGCTGTTTTTACAAACAGTATCATAAACCGTCCTACAGCTAAGGCCTTGAAGCGACCATGGACGTCTAGTGAGTGCTTTGACCAACACTGTAGTGCAAAGCCTCCAGAGGGACAGTCTAAGAGAACTAGCCTATCACACTACACATACACACACACACCCCAGCGGTCATTGATTGAAAGGCAGGAAACACCCTGGACAGGTCGCCAGTCACCTAGGGGCCCCTAAATTGGAATGTCTTTGGTCTGTGTGAGGAAACACCCGGAGGAAACCCACACAGACACGAGGAGAATATGTAAACTCCACACAGAGAGGACCCTGGTTGCCCGGCCGGGGAATCGAACCCAGGCCCTTCTTGCTGGGAGGCGACACAGTGCCACCCTCCTATCACAATAGCACTACACAAACAATGCAAACAACTCTTCCACCTGCTGTCCAATACTGTCCAAACAACTGTAACATAAGCTAGGCTTAAAAATATGCAGCTAAGACATCATAAGTTGCACAGTCAGGATATTCACTATTTTGAGCTTTTATCCAACAGGCCTGTAGTTTGATCGTGGAGGTTCATCCTGTGTTTTTTATAAAGGTTTTTTTTTCTTGGGGGGTTCACGGTGCATTTTTTAATCACTTTTGACTGCACATTTCACTCTTGTTAAGCCAAATATGGTCGATCAGCCAAGACATGTTCGGTGTCTGGAGTTTGCTTCCTTAGTTTTTCACTGAAGCTACAAAGCTAACATAGCTAACAAGCCACTTACTGTAAACTGCATGCTTAAAATCATAAAGCAGCTGCTTCAAAATGTGTTCAGTCTTTAAGTAACTCCTAATAGAGCTGATCGTGTGGTTTCCGACGCTGTATAGACCAGGTTGTGTCGTCATTCTGTAGTCAGTGAATGCGTTTATATGTACTTAATAATCTGATAACTGCAGAAAATCAGATTTTGTCAGAAATCCGATCAACACGTTTACATGCACTTACATGCACTTGAAATGCGATCGCAAGGGCAAAACTCTGAGTCTGCGCCCCTCACACACGACTCGACTCTCTATCCAACTGTCGACTCCGACTGCCCAAAAATCTCCAGAGTAGAGCCGACCAGCACAGACTCGGCCAGACTGAGAATCAGGGCCAAAATCAGGGTAAAGGTCATGTAGCGTAACCCCGGCTTAATAGGAATTGGCTTAATGGACCACTAGTTTCCTGTAGAGCGCCTTCAGTCACCGTCATGTATCATTTTCCATTCTCTGTCTCTCTCTCTCTCTGTCTGTCTCTCTCTCCACTGTGTGAGAGTGTGTGTCTCTCTGTGTGTGTACTCACATTGTAGTTAAATTAAATAAATTATCACATATTCTCCCCTCAATGGTGGTGACCTGGTTGTTGCTCAAATCTCTGCGAAGAGGAAGAGAGAGAGAAAAACAGAGAGAGAAAGTGGTTAGCGAACGACTATATTTCACTGTGTTACATTTCTTCTACTGCTTTTCTCTCTCTCTCTCTCTTTCTTTAAATATGTGCATGTTTTTTTCTGTCTTCTCCTCCACTCTATTTCTGTTTTCTATTTCTCTCTTCTCTCTCTCTCAGTTCTCACTCGTTTTCTCTTCTCTCCTTCTCGTTCTGCTATTCTCGTCTCTCCTTTTCTCTTCTCTTTCCCCATTTTATTTTTCTCTCTATCTTTTGTTTTTCTCGCACTCCTTGCTTTTCTCTCCCTCTCGTTTTCTCTGATGTTTTCTCTCTGTCTCTCTCTCTCTCTCTCTCTCTCTCTCTCTGTTTTCTCTGTGAATAATGGTTCTCTTGTTTGGCTGCTGGAGCAGCATATGGAAAAGCTCTGGAGTGATTTTGGTGTACCAGACAGGGATGGAGGTGTGTGGGTGTGTGTGTGTGTGCGTGTGTGTGTGTGTGTGTGTGTGTGTGTGAGGCAGTCGAGGCCTGAAGCGATGATATGTAATTGGTCTTAATGGCCTTGTGACTGAAGTGACTGTGTGTGTGTTTGACGCTCTCCAGAGACGTTCTGTTTAATTCCGAAAATGATTCGATTCATTTAAGAATCAGTTCAAATCCAGTTGATTCAGCCACGGATTGTACGGTCAGTGCTTCATGTATCCTTTAACTGATTCATCTTTATTTGATGCATTTTCAGTCCTGGATATATCTGACTTGATTGATTTGCAATGATTCAGTGCTGACAGTTTATGTTTTGATTCAGTTCTACCCACCTGTTCAACTGTTGTCAGGGTTAAATATTTGAATCAGCTCACTGTGTAGATGTACTGCTTCATTTATCAATTAACTGATACTTTATTCATGAAACCTACATCAGGGCAGATCTTCAGGAGGAGGGTTGGTGACAACTTCAAGACAAGATCTATTTAACTTATTAACTTATATTATTCTATTTTATGCAATAATTGGTCCAACTAAATGATTTGGTGTTAGTTTAAGCCATTTTACACACTTCGCTAGAGTGAAAGTTTGTCTCTGACTCAGTTCATTTGGGTGTGAATGTGTTTGACACTCACCTGAGATTTAAAAGGCTTGATTCATTCAGCAGAATCGGTCTGGCCTTAGTTGATTCAGTTTCAGTGTACATTTACTGCTTCATTTTGAGCCGTGGCTCTATTTGATTCAGTTAAATGATTCAGCTTGGGCTCACGTTTGATTCACGTTTTATGATTTCTGTTTCACTTCATTTGAGTCTGGTTGTTTGACACAATACAGCAGTGGTCATCAATGCTACTTCTGGAGATCTAACTTCCTGCAGACTTTATCTAGAACCCTAATCAAACCCACCTGATTCACCTAATCACTGCCATCAGAAGTCCTTGATTAGCTAAATGAAGCGTGTGAGATCTGTGCTGGAGGTGAAACCTACATCAGGGCCAATCTTCAGGAGGAGGGTTGGTGACCATTTCTCTACAGAGAATTCCTGCTTGTTTATCTCTTGGCAGAAAAATAAGTTTCGATTCTTTTGAGAATCATTCTGACTCCAGTTGATTGAGTCACAATGTAGATTTGATTCTTCATTTATTCATTAGCTGATTTTTTTACACTACTTTCAGCTTTCAGATCTGTTTAACTCTACTTGGACTAATTAAATGATTCAATGTCAATTTTAACCTTAAAGTTCTTCGCCAGAGCAAATCAGTCTGTGTGTCTCTGATTCAGTTGATTTGGGTTTGACTGTGTTTGACACTCTCCAGTGATTTAAAAGTCTTGATTAATTCATCAGAATCAGTTTGGCCTTAGTTGATTCAGTTACAGTGTACATTTTCTGCTTCATTTGTCCATTAACTGCAGTTCTTGATTTGATTCATTTTCTATTCTGGATCATTCTGCATCTATTTGATTCATATAAATGATTCAGTGTTGATCTGGGCCTTTGGGTTTTATATAAATCACCACACTGACTCAGTTTCTGTTTGCAGTTCAGTTCATCTGAAACTGCCTGTTTAATTCTAGGTAGAAAATTTAAGAATCAGTTCAACTCAGTCTTAATTTGCCTTGCATGAACCTCTGACTTGAAAATAAGTCGTAAAATGGCAGTGTATTCATAACCTTTTAATGTAATATTTTTCTGTGATGGAACTTTTAGAGGCATTAAACTCTGAAGACGTCTGGTTCCTATCAACACCACTGTGAACAATTCTGACTCTGTAAACTTCTCTAGAACAGAGCGTTTCACACCAAACCAGTCTGAATGATGTAACCATTTAATGATGCAGAATTTTTTTTTAATCTTTTTTAAATTTATACTATTTATAATTGTACATGTCTGTTTAATATGTCTGTCTATGTGTAAATACTTCTACCTTAAATTTAAATGTTTATTACGGCACCAGAGCGTAAAGTAAGAACAGACATACAACTCAAATGATTCAGTGTAGATATGGGCTTTTGGGTTTGATATGAATCACTGGAGTGAATCAGTTCATGATTCAGTTCATTTGGGTTTGACTCTGTTTGGGAAGACTAACCCAAAACACTAGATGAGCACACAAAAATGCCTGAGAACTAGAACACAGCTCCACCGCCCACACACACACACACACACACTCTCTGTCACACACACACACACACACACACACACACACGCACACACACACACACGCGCACACACACACACACACTTTCTCTGTCTCACACACACACACACACACACCCACATACACACACACACCCACACCCACATCCTCTCTCTCTCTCTCTCATTCACACACACACCCTCTCTCTTTCACACACACAAATACACACACACAAAACCTCTCTCTCTTACATACACACACATACATCTCTCTCTCTCTCTCTCTCTCTCTCTCTCTCTCACACAGACACAAGAACAATACTCACAGCACAGCTAACGAGCCACAGCCAAACACCGTGTGAGGAAGAGCTGTGAGACGATTATTCTGGAGATACCTGAGAGAGAGAGAGAGAGAGAGAGAGAGAGAGAGAGAGAGAGAGAACAGATATAGAGAGAGAACAAAGAGAACAGAGATAGAGGGAGAGAACAAAGAGAACAGAGATAGAGAAAACAGAGAGAGAGGGAGAACAGAGAGAGAGAGAGAGAACAGAGATGGCGCAAGAAGGAGAGAGAGAGGGAGAACAGAGTGAGAGAGAAATAGAGAACGGAGAGAGAGAGAGAGAGAACAGAGATAGTGAGAGAATGAGAGCGAGAGAGAGAGAATAGAGAGAGAGAACACAGAGAGAGAGAGAAAGTGAGAAAATGAGAGAGAGAGAGAACAGAGAGAGAGAGAGAGAGAGAGAAAGAGAGAGAAAGTGAGAAAATGAGAGAGAGACAGAGAGAACGGAGAGAGAGAGAGAGAGAGAGAAAGAGAGAGAAAGTGAGAAAATGAGAGAGAGACAGAGAGAACAGAGAGAGAGAGAGAGAGAGAGAAAGAGAGAGAGAGCAGAGAGAGAGAAAGACAGAGAGAGTCACAGGAAGGGAATGGATAAAGAGAAAAGAGAACGAAGCTGTTTTACTCTGTCACTCAGTGTAGGATGGTGATGCTGATGCTGCTGCTCTCCATCTCTGAACACATCACACACTTACAGCTCTCTGACGGTCATCAGGTGATCAAACAGACTGGAGTCCACAGACGAGAGGCGGTTTCTGGACAGATCTCTACAGGACAGAGATAAGAGGCACAGTCAGAGTGTGTTTAACACACACACACACACACACACACACACACACACACACACTGAACAAAGATAACAGCACATCACTTCCACACCTCACACACATTTTATTGAGCATAACAGTAATAAAAATATTCAAGAGGCAGAAATTTGTCCGAGCTGACTGAAGCCGGAGTGAAGTGACTTGAGTTTGTCCGAGAAGAAGCGAAATTCCAGTGAAGAGAGAGAATAAAAGGTCATGCGGAGGTTTGCGAGTGGTCGGGAGGAGGAAATCTGGACGGATAGAGAAGAAAGTGGAGGGGAAGTGTGATGGATGAGAAAGCATGCTGAATGTGGAAGAAGACAGGAAATGAAAGAGAAGGGAACCAGATGGAGGAGGGATGAAGAGAGGAGGAGAATGGAAGAAGAAAGAGAAAAAGTGGAGCACTGGAAATGGAGAAAGACAAATAAATTAAAAAAAGGAGACAGAATGAAGGAGACGCAGACAGGAAAGAGCGCGAGTGTGTGTGCTGAGAATGAGATGGCAAAGCAGGGAAAGCTATAATGAAGTTTTTAAGGGGCAATTTCTGCTCTCGCTGGCTAAAAATTAAGGGGCATTTTACATGCAAATGGAGGCAAACTCAAAATGACACGTTAATGGGGCATTTTGGCCTAAAAAAATGTAATATGTTGTTTAAAAATTTAATATGCTTCTGTAGAGCAGCATTATTTCCCTCAGCATCATCACTCTGAACGAATTCATGATTTTTTTATCATTTTCATATCTTCAAGTTCTCTCACTACAATACCCAGCATGCATTACACAAATACAGCATACAAGCATTGAGAATCCCTGTGGTGTCAACCAATCCTGACTGCGAGCAAAGCCAGATCTATAGGTAAGGCTGTGCCTGAGTACTCGAGTACTTGGTTAACCAATGGAGACGCCAGTATTTGAATACCGAAATCTTGATTCTTCAACACAAAAAGACAAAAAATACACTGAAATGGTAAAATAGAACTGTTCTGATCATATCTGTAAGTTTATATACATCATTATGTAATTAAAAAGGCAGATCCAGCGCAGCCAGAGAACGTGTAGAGAGAATTACCGCTCTGCACTGTCATCCGGGTTTCTCAAAAGCTAGAGGGCGCTCCCGAGCGAGTCCAAAATGAATGGGTTGATATGGAGCATTTAAGTTATATCATAGTTTATAAATGCTTAAACATTTTTAATATAAAGGAATACATTCACTTTATATTAACAGCGCAAAACATTTTAACATTGCTGTTGTATCTATAAGAGCTTTTAAGCTTGAGTTATGGGAGTTTAAAACGGCACCTCATGTACGTTAATGATGTCTGTGAGTGCGAACAGCCAACGAGCTGCTCCGCCCACACAATATTTATTATTATTTATGATCCCTTGCATTTCCATACAACAGACTGTTCACTGTATATAGAACACAACACATAACTACTTACTCTAACAGTACGTAACATACCGTATATATTGTATTTATAGTATTATGTGCACATACACATGTACATATCATTCATAGATACGTTTATAATTGTGTATATATTGTTTATATAGTTATATATTTCATAGATACGTCATATTTATGTCTGTTATTGCACATTTGTACTGTCTGTTTTGCACTATTGGTACTATCTGCACTTCTGGTAGATGTTACCTGCATTTCGTTGCCTTGTAGATGTACTGAAGAATGAAGTTAGCTTTCAAGCTATTGGTTATAAAGAGTAAAGCTATGTATGTATGTATGTATGTATGTATCTATCTATCTATCAGTACTGAAGTTTGAACAACCAATACTCTGTGGTACTAAAGTCCATTCAGTGAGTAGCAGTAAGTGTGAAATTCTGAAACCTGGACTCAATCACACACACACACACACACACACACATCATCTAAACCGCTTATCCTTCTGGGTCACGGTGGGGTGTTGGAGCCTATCCCAGCTGTCATTGGGCGGAAGGCAGGGTACACCCTGGACAGGTCGCCAGTCCATCGCAGGGCTGGTCTCAATCAACTTCATCAATTTCACTCTCAGTTCATTCCTAATCAGTTCATTCACATCTTGCTGCAGTAAATGCAGGCTGCAGAGGACAACAGCAGCAGCAGATGTGCAGTGCAGCGAGAGCGTGTGTGTGTGTGTGTGTGTGCGTGTGTGTGCGTGTGTGTGTGTGTGTGTGTGTGTAAGAACAGCATTCCCAAAAGAAAACATCTGTCCATTCCAGACAGACTGAGTAAGAGGGAGGGGAGGGTCCGTATGTGTAAAACTCCTGGTACAGTCATTACTGTCCCGGCTCCTTCTCAGCGCTGTCTAACAGCCGTCTCTCACACATCAGCTGCTTACATAACGGACGGCGTGGAGTTATATCGCCATAGAAACCATTTGTTTAAAGGCGGTGAAAAAGTTTAATTCAGCGCACCACTTTTATTATTGTGATCGTGTGTGTGTGTGTGTGTGTGTGTGTGTGTGTGCGTGTGTGTGTGTGTGTGTGTGTGTGTGTGTGTGCGTGTGTGTGTGTCCAGACGGTGCGTATACGGTTCTGCAGCTGTGCTCTATAAACAATTCTAAAGGAACATTACACCATTTGAACATCAGATCCGCTGCGGTCAGCCAAACCGCCAGTGAAAGCGCTCCTCTCATCAGCCTCACAGCGATAGTTCAGTGAAAAAAAACAAATTTACTGCAAATGTAGCTGATCAGCCAAGACACGGTCGGGGTCCGAGGTGTGTTTCTGTAGTTTTGCACTGAAGCTACGAGGCTAATTCAGCGAACAGTAAAGAAAGCTACCAAATAGCATCATACAAACTGCCTAAACTGACGTGGTTTCTGACAGTGTAGAAATACTGTTATGTGTAAAAACAGACAAAAGTGTGAGTAAAACTCAGTTTTTACTCAGGATACAGTTTTTAGCTATAATAATGCTTTTGTCCATTTTTATAGATAACAGTAGGTCAGCAAGATACATCTTACCACTATTATCAGTTTGGCTTAAGGAGTTACTGCTTTTAAAGGAGTGAAGTTAGCTGTCAAGTTATTGGTTTTAAGGAGTGAAGTTAACTTTCAACTTATTGGTTTTAAGGACTGAACTTAGCTGTCAAGTTATTGGTTTTAAGCAGTGAAGTTAGCTGTCAAGTTATTGGTTTTAAGGAGTGAAGTTAGCTGTCAAGTTATTGGTTTTAAGCAGTGAAGTTAGCTGTCAAGTTATTGGTTTTAAGGAGTGAAGTTAACTTTCAACTTATTGGTTTAAGGACTGAACTTAGCTGTCAAGTTATTGGTTTTAAGCAGTGAAGTTAGCTGTCAAGTTATTGGTTTTAAGGGTTGAAATTAGCTGTCAAGTTATTGGTTTTAAGGAGTGAAGTTAACTGTCAAGTTATTGGTTTTAAGGACTGAAATTAGCTGTCAAGTTATTGGTTTTAAGGAGTGAAGTTAACTGTCAAGTTATTGGTTTTAAGGACTGAAGTTAACTGTCAAGTTATTGGTTTTAAGGAGTGAAGTTAGCTGTCAAGTTATTGGTTTTAAGGAGTGAAGTTAACTGTCAAGTTATTGGTTTTAAGGACTGAAGTTAACTTTCAACTTATTGGTTTTAAGGACTGAACTTAGCTGTCAAGTTATTGGTTTTAAGGAGTGAAGTTAACTTTCAACTTATTGGTTTTAAGGACTGAACTTAGCTGTCAAGTTATTGGTTTTAAGGACTGAAGTTAGCTGTCAAGTTATTGGTTTTAAGGGCTGAAATTAGCTGTCAAGTTATTGGTTTTAAGGAGTGAAGTTAACTGTCAAGTTATTGGTTTTAAGGGCTGAAATTAGCTGTCAAGTTATTGGTTTTAAGGAGTGAAGTTAACTGTCAAGTTATTGGTTTTAAGGACTGAACTTAGCTGTCAAGTTATTGGTTTTAAGGAGTGAAGTTAACTGTCAAGTTATTGGTTTTAAGGACTGAACTTAGCTGTCAAGTTATTGGTTTTAAGGACTGAACTTAGCTGTCAAGTTATTGGTTTTAAGGGCTGAAATTAGCTGTCAAGTTATTGGTTTTAAGGAGTGAACTTAGCTGTCAAGTTATTGGTTTACAGGAGTGAAGTTAGCTGTCAAGTTATTGGTTTTAAGGAGTGAAGTTAGCTGTCAAGTTATTGGTTTTAAGGACTGAAGGCTCTGTATACTACAAGGCCTGTTTCTGAGATACTGGCCAACACAAGGGGAGAGAGTGTGGTTAGTTGGACTCTGTGGTTATGACTGTCCACATAGTGGATTACAGGAAAAACAGACCATGCTTAAGGCCATGTTTGTGAGTTTTCCATTAGCTAACCTCCACACTGATCTGTTCATAAAATCACCCTTCTGACATCATTTATTGAAGATGACTGCATGTACTTTTTTACTTTGTTGTGAATCTTACAAATGTGTATCTTTGAACTCTCTTTGAATTCTCTTGCATATTGTTAGTAACTGTGGTAACAGAACTAAGGAATGAATGGGAGTAATGTAACTGAATTAACTCGATCCAACTTAAGTGATAGTAATAACTAATGCACAACTAATGTAATAACGATGATTTCATAAAATATCAAAATAATTATAATAGTAGCAAATAAACTGCTACTGATACAGTTACAATCATAATATAATATGAATAACTAATGTCTAAATATAAAATACACTATATTATTTAAAATAATTAACTAATGTATCTGTGTAAGTAGCTAATAACACTAATTAATAAATGGGTAATACTTTTAATTACTTGCAAATACAGCACCACTACTGCTGCTACAGTTACAATAATCAGTATAATAATTAGTATTACAGCACAATGTTTTGTGAATAAAAACTGACAACACACAGAACCATTATTAAATGGTATATTTATTATGTATTAATATGGTTTATTATGTATCAATAAATGTACATTTTGTATTAACTGAAGTTTTGCATTTATGTAAAGCTGTTTTGAGGTAACAGGAGTTAGCTGTATGAG